ACATGTGATCAGTTGCTATACAGAGGGTTCAGTTAAGGCTGGGGCAGGTTTAGACAGCGGATGCTTTATAGATGCTGAAAATTATTTGGATGGAACAGACACGAGAACATTATATAAACACTCCTCCACCCCTTTATTTCCACTGACTTATACAATAATTTGATCCTATGCAAGTCTGGACAAGTGCCTTATCAGGACTGTCACCAAACTATGACCGGTCTGGGTGATTCATTTATCTTTCTCTGCCTCAGTTTCCCATTAAGGAGGTTACTGATTTACTCTCAAAACATGTAGAAATGCACAAGGTAAGTTTCCACAGCATCTGCAACATCAAAACAGAGTCACAACTAGCCTATGTGGCGTGTAGCCACTCTCTACCATTCCCTCATTTTCACTCCCAATTATTTATGACTCCCAGGTATTCTTGAGTCATTACGATTTTACTAAACATTCTAGCTGTGAAGTGTAGATTTTTACTTGGTTAGCAGACTTTTGATGACTTTTTAATAAGGCAACATTATCCTTGAAAAATTTATTATAAGATCTGCTGTTAATTAAGCGACCTCTTCAAAAAATAGTTGTGGTTTAATTAGAAGCTAGGCTCATCTTACAAGAAATGAAATGACAAATTCTTTGGGGCCATAGTATTATAGGGTCCAACAATGCACCTTGGTCAGGGTCAGAGATTCATACAAGTATTTTCACTTGTTTCCATTTCCTTTTACTCCTTCCTGCCCTTTGTTAAGACTCACCTATCCCGACAATTTTACGACTGACGGTCTCTCTGCTTGTCTTTGGAAAGGGATTTTTTTAACTTTTCCTTTTCTTTTGGCCCCTTTTTCCTTTCCATGTAATGGGGCCAAGCCTGCATTTAGTAGACATCTCTACATGCCTTCGTAATACAAGGCAGTGCAGAAGATATGACCGAAGAGGTGTTTAGGCTCAGAAGGGCAGAGAGGGCTAGAGACAGAGCTGTCCAGATTATTTGTGAAGCATTTAGTTGTGCAAATCCTAGAAGACAAAGCAATGAGATACTAATTTTTTAAGAACATGAAAGTCAGGTCCATGTGAAGCAGCCATACATCAAGCAGAGAGGATTTCTGAGACGTGAGCCACGAGACAAAGCTTATATTTTAGGTCTAATTCAGCACCATTCTAGCAGTGACTGTCAGGTCTCTCTTCCCTCCTTCAAAGCCTTGATGCTGACCCTTACTCAGATTTAGCAGTGCTTTACTCATTTGGCAGCTTCACTGAGATCAGTTTAACAGAGACTGAAGTACTACTCAGCACGTGTCAGAGCCAACACCAGGTCCAAAGAAGTTAAAGATTTGTCTGGTTTTGCTTTATACACAGGAAACAGAAGCTCTCCAGAACTACAGATGCAGAGAGACAGATGAAAAAAGAGCTAACAGTCTGCGTGGTGAAGAAAAGATGGCAAAGCAGCAGACAAATTTGAGGCATTTGATATAGCAGCATTAAGAGATTTAGGACAAGCAGACAGCATGGAGACATTCACCAACTATATGTTTGGAAAGCAATCTGTTCTTGTGCCTAAGCCGCTGATAGAGACAAATTTCTTTGCTGCCAGTTACATTGTAAGGGAAGCAGTTGGCACCAAGATCTGTGCCTCCTTCATCCTGTATAGGGGAGTCTTTGTAGCTGAGCGACATTTCTGGACAAATTGCACTCTGATGACCTCACACAACTCTGGTACCTTGAAAAGAGGAAGTCAGGCTGGAGCCTAGCATGTCCACAGATTGAATCTTAGGGGATGGGTGATGAAGAAATGAATTGAGTATTACATCAAGCCAAAGCATAGACGAGAGGAATAAGAAGAGTTCTTTGTAGAGAAGAAAGGGATCTCCCAACTACAGAAAACTACCAGGAATTTGCAAGAAAACTATCAAATCTTACTGGTGCACAGTAGAACAATCATTCTTAAAGGCATGTTTCTATTCCTTTTCAGAAAATGCAAATGAAATATCACCCCGTGACAAAGTTTAAATTATACCATTCACCTTGTTTCACTCCCATGACAGGCACTCCACTCCTGTGAGGTCTTTGGCACCAGTTCCCAGCCTGGCCCTGACATCTCCTTCCAAAACTGTTAGCAGCTGTCCACAAGCAGGCCATAATACTGACCATAATCACGTCTGGAACTGCCAGTTCAGACCCACAATGCCACTAAAATGCACCTCTTTCACAGTAGGTGTAACTGCCCAACAGCTTATTTCCCACCTGGGACATCCAAATGTGAAAATATGCTGCTTCACTACAAGTGAGTTTCTTAACATGGCTGTTACTGCAGATGTGGATCAGCAGGCAGTACTGCCCTCCCTCTCCATAACATTAAAGCTCTGCTCTGCATACCCTGTTTGAGACAATAGGTGCTTCTGTTGTGGTTTAACCCCAGACAGCAACTAAATACCACTCAATTGCTCGCTTACTCCCCAGCCCCTGCCACAGTGGGATGGGGAGGAGAATACAAAAGCAGGAATAACCCATGGATTGAGATAAGAACAGCTTAACAATTTAAATAAAATATAATAATAATGATAATGAAAAATGAGACGACAAAAAGTGAGAGGGAAATAAATCCCTCAAAAAAATCCCAAACCCACAAGTCATACACAACACAATTGCTCACCATTTGTTGACCAATATCCAGCCAGTTTCCAAGTAGCAACCCCTGGTCAGCATGCCCCCCTGTTTATGTACTGAGCATAATGCCATATGGCATGGAATACCCCTCTGGCCAGTTCAGATCAGCTGTCCCAGCTGTGTCCCCTCCCACATTCTTGTGCCCCTTCAGCCATCTCACTGTCAGGGTGTGAGAAGCTGAAAAGTCCTTGAGTTAGTATAAACACTAAAAACTTCAGTGTGTTATCAAGATTATACTCATGCTAAATTCAAACCGCAACACTATACCATCTACCAGGAAGAAAATGAACTCTACCTCAGCTGAAACCAGGACAGTTTCTTTATAGGCAGAGATTCAAGACCGATTGCTGAATATATCATCTTCACTTTAAATGAAGAACTGCTGTTGATTTGTCTCTTACCTGTTCTATACCCAGTGTTATTGAGATACACAGCAAAGGTACGTGGCTCGTGAGTAGCCTGCCATGAGGGAGAAGAGCAGTTTTCGTTGTTGGTGTATATGTTGTGGTTGTGTACATACTTCCCAGTCAGCATGGAGGAACGCGATGGGCAGCACATTGGGGTTGTTACAAACGCATTGATAAAAGAGGCCCCTCCATTCTCCATAATCCTTCTGGTTTTATTCATCACTTGCAAGGACCCTGCAATAAGAGGTATTGATCATTACCGTGCTGCAAAAAATAGCTTGAATATATTGCCTATTACTATGCTATTAAAAGTAAATTATCAGTGATTAGGTTGCCTTTGGACATCAGTGTGCTCTACTCTGTAGCTTACATAATCTTAGGAGAAAAGATCAGAATTTTATTATATCAGCAAAAATATTTTTCAGGATTCCAGAAAGACTGAGTTTTTTTTTCTCAGGTTTCAAAACAAAGTTAAAATACAGACTAATCTAGAAATAGAATGTTAAAGCTGTATCAAATTCATAGGCCAACTGTGCTTCAAATGCAGCTGTAGGAAATCAGTATGTTACAAAGACTGAATTATTAGTCAATGTGCCAGTAAAACATGTAAAATGCTGAGATTACCAATGAATATGTTAATATTTTTTCTTTTTAAGAGATGACTGAAGAGAGAGGAAGAGAGATAGAGGAAGGGGGTAAAGGAGACAGTGAGACATGGAAAGAGGAGAGAGAGAATTCAGTGGCAATTTTTCTAAAGGAAAGTTTCTGGGGACACAAGGATCAGCATATCTGGCTCTGATACTACAGCACTGTGCTCAAAATCAGTTTTTGGGATAAATCTGTCTGCAAAAATATTGGCAAAATGCAGCACCTTTCTCAAGAAATACAGTTTAAAGAACAAAGACATTTTTTATATCCTTCAAAACATCTTTGTGAACAGCAAGGTAGACAGGCAGAGCTTGCAGATTTCTCATTGAAGAAAGCCTGAGCAGCCCCTGATAGGATCTGTCAGTATTTGCTGACAGCTGTCAAAGTTTGTTCTTTCTGTTATCCAACAGAGCAGAGATTGAAGGATGAGGGTGAACCATGAATATGTCAGTATGAACCCAGGAAACAAGTTTGCTAATAGTAATATTTGCACAATTTTGATGGTCAAAAGAGGTTTCTGAAATTCTACTGTATTTTCTTTTTCTTCGGTTTTACAATTAATTTTGTACAGTCAGCAGTAATTGTTTTAAATTTCAATCTGTTGAGTCCAGTGATATGCTAAGAGTTTTTCTTGATGATTTTGTTTGTGTTGATTGAAAAACAAATTAAAAGAAAGTTTTAAAGCAATTGACATGATTGTAAAACCATAAAGCTCTCAAGGAGGCTCAACTTTAGGTGTAAGCAGTTAAATACTACAAATTATCTTATTAAAGTTAAGCATGCTGTGTTTTGCTTTTGGGCTAAGGAGCTGGTGCTGAACATGAAATCTTTTGCATAAAAGTATTTGTTTAAAAATGGAAGAGGCAGTAGGCTCTTTAGCATTTCATTGTGAAGTGCCAGAGACTGTATCCTAAGGATACATTTAATACCCTGCACATCAGTCACCATCATTTTAGACCCTTTCACAGCCCTTATTATCTAAATGCAGAACATCTGCATTTGTGCTTTCCTGAACCCCATGTGTTTTGAGATATAGAGAAGTAGGAGAGTAACTGAGAGCACAGAAGGTCTCCATTTGCATGAGTGGGAGCATTTCACTGAGTTGTTGAGTAAAAGTCAAATCCTCATTCTACATGTCTTTATCTCAGACCCCAGGCTGACTTTTTCTTTTCAGTTTTGATTTCATTTTGTTTTGTTTTCACCATAGCTCTTCCATTTTCAAAAAGCCACAGTTTATTAGTGAGAAGTCAGCTGTAAAGTGCTTTGAGGTGCTCAAACAGAAGTGCACTATTCAGGTACCCTAATGCACAGTAACTGCAGCAGAGCTGATCTGCACTTTCCTGTCTCCATGTATTATAAATGAGTAGCTGTTAGAGCACTTCCTCATTCCTCTGGCTGGTCAGCCCTCTGCTCTTGCAAACCTGCTGTTTATGACTGAGTTTTCCCTCCAGGTATGCAGTTACTGACACTGATAATAGTCCCTCTGGAAATTCTGGAACAAGCACTTCAAAGCAGGTGAGACTTCCTCATTTGGAAAACAAAACACAAGTAGGAGATAAAACTTCCTCATCTAAGTTATAATCCTTTGCTGTCTGTAGCTCTCCTCACAGCTTGTGCTCTTTACCATCTGGCCCACAGTCTTCAGGGCACATGTAACTCAGGTGCTGTCTGTCAGCAGGATGCTCACACTCCGCATGACTGATTGGGAAGCACCTGAAGGGAACCAGACAACCGCGAATGGCCACTTTGGACACAGAAATTACTAAATTTTCTCAGACAAGGAATTCAGTGTCACTTCTCAGTCTATTCCATATATCAAGAAATATGTTTGGTAACCAAGGTTTCATATCAAGTCAAAAATTGCTATGGATTGTTATCCAGGTGTATCACAGGTGGGCATCTTTACAAAGGGATAGTTAGGAGCCACCTTGTCTATATATGGGTTGTATGCAAGGCCCTAGAAAGGTAATGGACTTCCTCAGATCTCAGCACATATCCCCGTTTTTTCAGCTTATGTTTTTTAGTGCTTTAGTTCTAGTGAAGATGGAAAGCAAACCAAGCAAATTATGTCTCATGTGATGTATATAGATAGTGTGGTGATCTCTTCACCCAGTGCTCTCATCAATGGATGGTTTATATGGATTTCACTGGTGGCACATCAAGCTGTAAACATGGGTAAAGAAAAAAAGTAACTGTCTCAAATGGATTTATTTTTCCCTCTCTCTTTTTTTTTTTTAACCTTTTCCTCCTTCTCTGACAACTCAAAGGCTTTTGGATTAAAAACACTAGAACTATCAGCATATTAATTAGTTTTGACTCCTTTCTGACATTATGCAGGGTATTATTTATAGTGAGGATCATAAGAGTGATTGGAGAGTCATCTTTTGAGGAACTGATGTGTGAAAATGGGACAGGGGAAGAGACTAAAGAGTGAATAAGACATTGGACTGAACAGAGTACACACCTGACCCCAATAGGAGCTGGGGCCACTGCCCTGAAGAACTGGAGCATACTGTCCATAGTGGGGGATTGGTTCTGGGTTCTGGGCACTAGTGCTTTGCCTTAAGCAAGATGCCCATTTGCCTCAGTGTTGGGCAGTTATTTCTGTACCCTCGGGATCTTGTTGGGGAAAGAAAATGTACAGTGGCACAATTTAAGAAGCCATTTCCCAGCTTTTGAGCCCAGGAATTTGTTGTGTATCTTCAAGAGCTGTGAGACAGGTAGCTTCACACTGCTTAAGTTGCAATCCACCAGCTGATCTATACTATCCTTCCTCTGTGACATATTCTTCCTAGCATATATAGGAAGTGACGGGTTGTGCAGCAATTTGTGGGTTTTATCTGGTAAGCCGAATGAGACAGCAACTTTGCTGAACTTCTTTGCACTCAGAATGCAAAACTCAGGGGGTTGGTACAGATCAATAAGAAGATGTGCACACTCCTATGCTTTGAGCAGTAACTAAATGCAAGCTCCCTGCCTCTTTCAAATTTTACTTTGGATAACTCCTTTGTATATCATTTGCACTCAGGAAGATTAATATTATGGTTCAATGCTTATACATGCTCTGGAGACAAATCCTTCCTGATTGAAATCTATAACACACCTTATATACTTCTATGCTAAAGCATTCATTTAGAACAGTTTTTTGAAATGTTTGTGCTGGGAATACAATAGCAAATAATCTATATCGAGAGACTTTCTGTCTTGTGATTTCTGGATACCAATGCCTAAATTTTATTCTGTTTGTGGCAGAAAGTGTTACTTCCCATTGACCTTTGGGAAACTTTAGATTTTTCTCAAGGGGGAAATTCACACATGGAAAACAGTTTGGCTTTATTTTTCAAATAAGCAGAATGATTTATTAGCAGAAGTGCTGTAAGTCTTGGGGCTGAATCCTGTTTCCTGTGAAATGATCTATGAAAAGGGGAAACCTGTGTCTTCATTCAATGCAGTGGGAATGCATACACACCCAGGCTATTGCTCAGCTGCCTGCTAATAGGAGCCAGCGTGCCCTGTGAACATTCAGAGCAGCTTTCAAAGAGAGGAGCTCCACAATATGAACAAACTACTTGGCACATCCTTCCTCCCATTTCACCAGTTGCAAACCTTCTTGCAAGACTAAAGACAGCAGGTTGGTAACACTGTTCAGAGACATGTCTGCTGACCTACCTTCCCCAGTGCCCTGGAGAAAGTAGGCTCTTTCGGACCACAAAAAGGAAGACATGAATTGACCCTTTTAACGAAATTTTTCAGAACGACTCTATCAAGAAGAAATGCACTCCTATTGTAGTAGCTGTATTTTAGGCCAAAAATAGAGCTGGGAACAGCTATTCATTATGCAGCATGGCTAAACAGAAAGGACATTTGAAAGAGTGAGAAATAAAAGAGATAAGATGTGCTCAGGTCTAAAGGCTTGGTTTTGGAGGTCTGCTGCATAAAAGCACCAACTCTCAGTCACGAAATATAGTTTATTAATTGTGTTTTCAGAACCTTGAAGGACTATGAAATTATTATTGCATCGTGACAAATACAAAAATGCTAGCATCTAAAGAATCACTTTTAGATCCAGACCACTTTCTGTCTACAACTTTCTGTCTGAAAGTATGTGATTTCAGAAGAAATTAACTATTTTGTTACAAGTTTTCTGGAATGGAGCACTTTTATTTTTCAATGTCATATGGCATTTTGTTTAGAAATTCACTATATTTCTATTAAAAATATGTCTTTCATTAAAAAAAAGCTAAGAATGCAAGATTTCATTTCAAATTAATTTGCCATTTTTTCACATTTTTGATCTCACATCCCACCCCCAAATGCAAAATATTTGCTTGGGGGTAACCTACAATGATCCTATTTCTCTCCTTGATTTTTCATTTTGGGCCGTGAGCCAAAAAATCAGTTATATGCATAACTACCATTAATATCTTTCTAACTCACTTAATGGAAAACATTCAAAGGCCTCCTGGAATATCATCCAAGTGTTTTAACTTTTTCCACCCTAAGAAAAATATGTGAAAATCACTTCTGGATGGTATGCCCAGATTGTGCTCAGATATTTAGTATACTTGTGAAAGCAAAAACTGCGTATTTTTATACATGTAACATAGATTTTAAACACTTTAAACATTCATAGAAATATTATGTCCTGAAACCAGACTAGTTCGTGTGCATAAACATATCAGATTACATACATGCCTGTGACAAATACGTGGAGATATAGATACCTATACAGCACTGAGGGAAAGGTTGACCTCATAAGGCTCAAATTTTTAAATGCTACAGTAAGTCATAAAGTGAGAAAGGGCTTTTGATGCAAGTTTGTTATTTGTATGTCCTTGCATGCATTACTAAATCCTTTTGTGGTGGTGATTAAAGCCTTCTGTGGTGGATTTTGATAAGCATGTATTTCCTAAAGTCTATAATTAAATGTGATGAGTGCTATTAAATAGTATTTGTCAACTCATTTTCCAAACTTGTCTCACATTCTCACATTGTTCCAGGACTAGCAATTTCTCTGAATTTAAAGTACTTTCTGCTCAGCAGAAATTACTGAAAGACACATGACAAAATGTAGTAGCAAAAACCATTTCTCACCTAGCTCCACATCTTGATCATCTGTGAGTACAAGGATGATATTTGGTCTGATATTTTTTCGCTCCTGTTGCACACGTCCTCTGAACCTTGGGGACTTGATGGTGGAACAGTGACTTGTTAGCAATGCAGTACTGAGCACTGCCAAGATGACTGCAAACCAAGAAGACTTCATAGTAGTTCGAGTATTTCAATAAAAAGACTGGTTCAGAAGTGCCTGAGCTCTAGCTTTCAAGACCTGTAGGGAGGAAAAGAAATTCTGTTCAATTAATAAATAAACTTCCAGTCATACAGCAAAAGGATGACACTTAGGGAAGTCAAGCCTGACACATACCATTTAACATGATTATAAGCCATATTGTTGAATAAGAGCTTTATTCTGTCATTTTCTAAGAATAAACTTGGTCATTCTGCAACTATGCTTTCTCAAATAATTTTTACTTGAAGTCATGCCACTGCCTGCATTTTGCATAGGCACAACTTCTGGTATACTCTTCACAATGCTGCTTCTCCTACACCCCACGCTTCTCTTTATGCAGCTTGTTCCTTACATTCAGTACCTGGGTGCAGTAAAATATTGCTGAGATGCAGACGTGTTCAGAACATCTGTAGGAGGAGCCCTGTGAGAAGAAGAAAGCAGAAGCCTTGTCAGTCAAAGACCTCAGTACTGTGGCGCTGCTTCAAAGTCTCCAGAATTGTTTGTTACAGCTTCTTTCTCTGTCCTGAAAGAAAAGAGTAGAAAAAAAATTGCATTCCCCTAGCTCCCCTATTTAATTTAATATCATACCTACGCAGGGGTTAGATGGCACCTTGGCCGCTACAGGTAAAGGGCATATATCTCACGTCATCAGACACAAGTGCTTTTCCAACATTTATAGTTAGATATATAGTGAAACTCTGACACTAAGAGTTAATACCAGCATATGGCTCCTGGCAAGCGATAGAGCTATTTTAGGTTAACTCACCTGCATGAACGACTAAACCCTTAAAGAGCAGAGGGGAGAGCACGGCTGTCATTTGCAATCTGCATTGGATCACTACGTGAAAAGTCATCTTCCCACTGACAAGAAAGCTCATATTAAGTGACAGTCCATATGATCTTACCCAGCATTGTGAAAGAGCGTAACAGTCCCTCAATCAATCAACGACAGACCTGAGTGCCTCATCCATAATGCACAGTACCTCTGCCACAGCCTCGTCCTTGATACTCTGCTTCCAGACTCGGCTCAGTACGTTATCAGAACCACCTCTCTGTGCCTGTCAGTCAAACAGCCTTGCTTTTGTAAGACCTGCTGCAAGCACAGAGGCTTGGCTTTGCTGCAGCAGATTTAAACCTGTGACTGAAAATGACTGATTGGTCTGGGGAGGAAGGGGTAGCCACTTACACTTTGACATTTTTGGCATTACTGACTGAAGCTCTGCAAAACCATCCTGTAACACAAGGAAAGGGAGGGAACATCTGGGGGCAAAAAGGAAGGGGGTGGGAAAGAAACCACAGAGACATGTCTTCTCCCTCCAGGGTATTGACCTGCCACATACATTTCTTCTGTTTTTATTCTGGGACTATGGGTAATGCACGGTGATATCGGTCAATTAAAAAACCCTTGCAAAACCACCCAAGCCCAAGAACAATCAAGAAGTCTGCCCAAGGGGAAGCCTGCATGGGAACTGGGGTGTGCCTTATGTAATTAGACTCAAGCATAAATCATGAGGAGATCTGTGCACCCACACCTGAGATTTCATATTCAGACATGCAACATGAACTACAAACAGATTAATAAGCAGAAATAATTTAACAAGAGCAACACAAGACAAAAAGGGCCCCATCACTCACCCAAAAATGCGCTAATAGGAAGATGCTCTAAATTTCGGGGGAAGAAGCCACAGGAGAGGGAGGGGATGGGACTTGGTGCTGGACTGCTAGAAAAAGGATCGTGTTCTTGTTTCCCCATACACCTTTTATTTTAAGCTTCGCAAGCTAAACAGTTTCATGCTCCTCACTCTGGCAGGCTGTAATTACACCAGAAGAGTGTGAATGTCTTTAAAATGAAAATCCAAGTGTCTGTGGCAGAGAAATCATTGTCTCTGCACCAACAAACACTCCAGCCTCCCACTAACATACGAGCACTGCAAAGTCAATACAGGGGATCACCATTTAACCTTAAATGCTATTTCAGTGATTACACAGCATTCAGATAAGTAACTGGAAGTCTGTAATTAGTCTGAGCTGACTTTTAAAAATAGTTCGATTTCCATGTGTTTGTTCTTAAGTCACGTAAAAGATTACAAAAGCCCTGAAGACCAGGTTACCTGAGAAGTCAGGTGCTTTCTGACAGACACCAGATACCACATGCTATTGGTGCGGAAGCAGAAATATAATGTCTCTAAATGTCTGATCTTTAAATAGTGAAACTTTGACTCACATCACAAAGCACGCAAGGCTATGTGAAGTGAGACCCAATGTTTAGTTTCTTACCTCAGTTGTACCATACAGCAAACTTTTTCAGACAATGTTGACCCAGAAAGCGTAGTCATCCTGACTGCACTGAGCAAACATTGGCATCAACGTGTTTGAATAATCCCCCACTGAATGAAACTGCAAGTTCCTCACAATTACACCTCAGTGCTAGTAAAACATACACTAATCCAAATGGACATCAACAAGTATTCTTCATTTCATCCTCTCTGGTCTATATAAGCTTTTAAAAAGTCCTTTAGCTCTAGCAAGTTAGAGCCACCTTAGGCAAGTCTTTTCTAGAAATAAGCAGGTTTCTTTTCCAACTCTATTTTTTTCTCCTTGACGGATAAAGGAAAATATCGGGATGTATCTACACATACAAAATTAATTATCCAAGTTTCATTGAATGGTTCTTGCACTTTATAAAGCACAGTGATGCCATGTTTTGTCGCTCATATTTCAGTTTTGCATATGGCAAACCTTTATTAAAAGGTGATCTTTGACAACTTGTTCTTTTACAGCCTGTTTCCCAGTCCTAGAAGGAAATGAAGTAAAGAAAACTGTCAAAATACAGGGTTGATAAGGAAGACAAGGCTGCAATGTTTGTGTTGGATACTGGCTGGTAGCCTCTAAGTGCCCCCACGGACACTGCAATTTGTCTTGAGAAACAGAAAAAAATATGAGAAATTCCAAAAAGGACCTTCTCAAATTTACATGGGGAAGCAAACTTAAAACTTTATTGTGCAGTGTACAGAAATCAAGATAGTACTATAAAATGCTTTTCTCTAGCCAAATAAACAAGTGCTGATCATAACTTCTATATATGCTATTTGGAAAATTGAAAGTCTATTTTTCCTATGGAAGATACCTGTGATAATTGAAATGTAGTCAGTAAATACATGAAACCAGAGAAATCAGAGAAGTCCAAAGAAACTATTTTTCCTCATCTGGATAGAATTTTTTCTTTCTGTCATTCTTTTCCTTTTTCCCACAGGAGCACAAATTCATGGTTTACACTCAGCTTTCAAGGGATAAAATCTGAAAACTTGGATCTTTAGTTGTTTCTATGCTACTAGTATTACAACAGGACTTGTTGGTGTGGAGAATAAATTACCCATGAAACTTGAATTACATTGGGAGGGCACTGCAAAGAAAGGCTACAGTGCCACTTTGTGTGATGCGGCACAAAACCTATGAGGACCTTATTTCTAGTTCTCTTAAGAAGAAAAGCCAAAGGTAGAACAATATCTTTTGAAACACCATAGATTTTATACTCATTTTGATCAAGACTTTTCAGTGCATTGACTGAAAGTGCTTAATTTGGAATGCAACAAAAGACAGTCAGTATTCAAAAAAGAGCATTTTCCACTTTGTTTTGATGTCCACCCTTTTAGTCTGTTCATTAAATATGTCATTTTATGTTAAAAAACTGTTCAGAATCACACACTTTGTCTATGAAACAGGGCACTGAGCATCCACAAGAATACCACATCTTAAGGTTTAGGGATATATGGACTTACGAATATCTAATATTCTACAAATTTGGCTTCCACATATCCTTGCACAGCAAATTTGGCTTACAGGGGCAGATTTCTTGTTTGGAAATCAGAAATCAAATGTGGGGCTGAATAAGGATAGCGGACATGTGTTCATCCCCAGTACCATGGGCTATGTAATGCCCCACATCAGTAATTCACAATCAAGTTGTATGTAACAAAGGGCAAACAACTTTGCCTTCTCTGCACCACAGCATTGGTCTTTTCTTTTGAGCAAGAACATTGAGGACATCACATTATCCAAAGTGGCCTTTCCTTAGAAACAAAAATGGATCAACTGTGGCCAGCAAAAAACCCAGTGAAAATAATAATAGTGATAATGTGGACTGTGATTGTGGAGCTTAAGAATCACAGAATTGTTAGGATTGCAAAGGACCAACCTGCCTGCCAAGGCAGGGTCATCTAGAGCAGGTTACACAGAAACATGTCTAGGTGGGTTTGGAGTGTCTCCAGAGAGGGAGACTCCACAACCTCCCTGGGCAGCCTGTTCCAGTGCTCTGACATCCTCAATGGAAAGAAGCTCTTCTTCGTATTGAGGTGGAACTTCTTATGGTTTAGTTATGGCCATTACTCCTTGTCCTGTTGCTGGCCACCACTGAAAAGAAACTGTCACCATCCTCCTGACACACGCCTTTGAGATATTTATATGTAGTGATGAGACTCCCCCTCAGTTTTCTCTCCTCTAGACGAAACAGGCCCATCTCCTGCAGTCTCTCCTCATAAGAGACATGCTCAAGACCCCTAATTATCTTTGTGGTCCTCTGCTGGACCCTCTCCAGTAGCTCCTTGTCTTTCTTGTACTGAGGAGCCCAGAACTGGACACAGTACTCCAGATGTGGACTCACTAGGACTGACCTGCTGGCCACACTCTTCCTGATGCACCCCAGGATACCATTGGCCTTCCTGGCTGCAAGGACATGCTGCCAGCTCATAGTCAACTGCCATCTACCAAGACTCCCAGATCCTTCTCTGCAGAAGTGCTCTCTAGTAGGTCAGCCCCCATCTGTACTGGTACTTGGAGTTATTCCTCTCCAGGTACAATACCCTACATTTGCCCTTGTTGAATCTCATTAGGTTTCTCTCTGACTATCAAGGTCCTACCCAATGGCCTTCAGGTGTATCAGCTTCTCCCCCCTCAGCAAACAGGAGAATGAGAGTTCCAGTTTCTGTTCCCCAGATATTAGCAATAAATGTACCCAGTGAATTGAGTATGTAAGGTATCACAGGGATCCTAAATCAAGTAACTCCTAATGTGGTAGCAATTTTGCAGTTAAGTGTTGTGTTCCTCATTACTATCCTGCATCCTACAGATTTTATCTCTGTAGTTAGATTTCCCTGCCTCCGCAAATTGACATACTTGTATATAATTAATATATAGTCCACAAACAAATGTTGTGTAACTTTGGATATTTTTTAGATTCTCTGACAAGTGCTAGGAACTTGCACAAAAATACATCAAGTGCATGGAAAAGAAGCAGAAGGCCTTGTCATTGCAAGTGTTAAGTTGCCTCATATCCTTTATGCAAAAGATAATCTTGGATAATTTCTTCTTACAGGCTTCTCTGCATAAAACCCCTCAAAGAAACAAAACTTCAGGTATCAATCAGCACAAGACAATGAACTTTCCTTCCTCATCCCAAGCAGAAGAGCATCTTCCTAAGTATTTTACCTATGACCTGTTGACTTGACAGTTTTGGCTTTAATGAGC